GGGCTTCTCTGGTGGCCCAGTGGTTGAGAATCTGCCTGCCAATGCAGGGGACACAGGTTTGATCCCTGGTCTGGGAAGATCCCACATGCTGTGGAGCAACTAAGCCCAGGCGCCACAACTACTGAGCCTGTGCTCTAGAGCCCGTGAGCCACAACTACTGAGCCCGCGTGCCGCAACTACTGAAGCCCGCGCACCTAGAGCCCATGCTCCACAACGAGAGAAACCACCGCCATGAGAAGCCTGCACACTGCAAAGAAGAGTAGCCCCCGCTCGCCGCGACTAGAGAAAGCCCGCACGCAGCAACAAAGACCCAACACAGCCAAAAATCCATAAATAAAATAAATAAATTTATTTTTTTTATAAAAAGCGTAGTTCCCAGAAATAATGTAGATCTAGAATTTCTAAGTGTATCTCTACCTGAATTTTGGTAATAGACACTAACAAGGTTTATAGCCACTTTGGGGTTTAACCTAGAATGCTCTTTTTTCCTGTGTGTGTGTATGTGTGTGTGTAGTGTGCATGTGTAATGTGTGTGTGATTATTTTACCTTAAATGATGGTTTTTGAGAAAAAGGGATTAGAGGGAATATTGTTCAGTGGATATCGCACTTTTCAAAGTGTGTTCTAGCTCTGTAACCAGATTTTAAGATCTTCTGATTTCCTCCTGTGATTCTCTCAGGCATCCTCCCAAATAAAGAAGATTCCCATCCCTATCTCTCATCACACCCTGAATATTTAAGGAATTGGTAGTGCCAAATTATAGAAAGTTTCATTAACTGAATTCTCAAACTTTAAACCAAAGGCACAGTACATTGACTGAATAAATATGCACAGCATGTTTAAGTATTCTGATGGTAGGTTTAGGAAAACTATAAGGCAAACCTTTAATCTGGCATGATGGAATTTTAAAAAAATAATATTTTAGAGTTTTTCTGATTGCAGTTTTTGGCTTATTCATTGATTAAATAAAACGTGAGGCAGAATGTGATACCAGGAGATATCATGCTCTAAACACAATGGCCTGTCTTCAAAAAATAATGTTATAATGAAAATATTCTTTTCTATTTTCAGTGACTTTCTGGCTGATCAAGCTGCATGTTATGTTCAGGCGATACAGTGGATTTTGCATTATTACTATCATGGAGTTCAGTCCTGGAGCTGGTGAGGGAATAAAAACAAAAAGTTTTGTCTTTTATAATGGTTCATTCTACTGTAAGCTCATTTGAGAATCTCTTTTCTTTTTATTTCTATTTATGATAGTATTTTTAAAAAGATACAGCCAAGTTTAAATGAAATACAGGTAATCTTTTTTATATGAAAATACTTTAAAAAGACCCTTTTATAACAAAGATACTTCCAGTTATAGCAGATGGCCCATAATAAAAGCTCTCTGTTAATCTAAGGATTTAAAATTTTCTGTTATAATGAACGAAGTGTGACAAAGTCTTGATAATTAATGGGTCTGAGCAGTAATTAAGTGGGATTGTTTATTATATTCTTCTCTACATTTTTTTGTGTTTGAAAAATTTTTTCTATCAGTAATTATTGAAGAATGGGTTATATGAATGTTAGACTGGGAAGGGTAAAGAAGAAAGGAGAAAGGAATTACTTGCTTTTCCTGGAAATAATAATAATTTGTCTCGTTTCCTATTCCAGCAAGTTCCATCTACATTTCCAAACGATCCACTGAAATAGAAAAAATAACAAGCCAAAATATGCTGCAGGGAAAAGCAGAGACTTTCAAGTGATGAGATAGCTTGTTTTGTTTTGTTTTCAGAACACCTGCTAGGCTCTGTTTTAAAGCACCAACAGCAAAACAGACCAGTGCAAAATAATGTGGCATTAATTTCACATGATTTCACTTACTAATAGCTTTTACAAATCTTTGCAATAATTAACATGATTCTCAGGGCATCTCTGAAGAGTATTCTATGACAAAAATCCTTGATTTGCCATGTTTTAAGAGGGTGAGTATAAGTTAGCCCTATTATATTACCAGGCGTAAGGCCAGGCACTTGAAAAGCATGTTCTCATATAATCTTCACAACTATTTAAAGTAAGCATTTTTCTCTGCCTTTTATAGATGAGGATTAGAGAGGTTAAGTAATCTTTCCAAGATGACATATACCCAAGATTCAAGTCCAAGGCTATCTGATTCCCAAAGTCTATACGTTTTGCCTTGTTTCACATGCCACTCTGCCTCCTAAACTTTCCCACCCTTTTGAAGTATGATATAATTGTGGAATATAAAAATATTTCTTGGGCTTTCCTGGTGGCGCAGTGGTTGAGAGTCTGCCTGCCGATGCAGGGGACACGGGTTCGTGCCCTGGTCCAGGAAGATCCCACATGCCAGGGAGCACCTAGGCCCATGAGCCATGGCCACTGAGCCTGCGCGCCCAGAACCTGTGCTCCGCAACAGGAGAGGCAAAACAGTGAGAGGCCTGCGTACCACAAAAAAAAAAAAAAAAAAAAAATTTCTTCATTGTTTTGTTGGTATCTTTAGTCAAACATAAAGAACATTGAAAGTTTTTTAAAAATTGTATGTTTCAAGTTTTGTAAAAATATTTTTTCTGTAGTTAAATATGGGAAGGTATTAAAAACAAAAATAGTTGGTGTGTATGATTGATAAGTGATTTAATCCCTACCACAAACACAATATATATATACTAATGCAAAGATAAAAGTTCTTAGACCTGACTAGTAACAGCCATATGAGCTCAGACTCACTGTTCCCTCTGTCCTTATGAGAGAAGCTCAGGCCCACATGAGCTAACTGAACGTCTTCTGACTACCTCATTACTTCGTTCTAAGAATCTGTTGTTTGGAAGACTCACAGTCAACATTTTCGAAACTGAACAGCCATTATATTATTTATATATATAAATAATAAATTATATATTATATATATTTATGTATTATTAATATATATATCTTACATGCATCCAAATTTTGAGTGTGAAACTGCACTTAAAAAATTAAGGAAATAGAATATTTGTTGCCATCAAATGACCTAAATTCTCCAACATTGCTGATTTTTTATATTCAAGTAGCAGAATTATGAATGATTTTTTGTCTTTAGAATTATTGCCATGTGTTGTTAAAATAGAATATGGAAAAGTATATACTTACTATTGACCTGTTTCATAAAATTGCCGATTGTTTAAAACTCAGTTTTGTTTTATAGGTTTTATCCATACCATTATGCGCCTTTCCTATCTGATATCCACAACATCAGTACACTCAAAATCCATTTTGAACTAGGAAAACCTTTTAAGCCATTTGAACAGCTTCTTGCTGTACTTCCAGCAGCTAGCAAAAATTTACTTCCTACATGCTACCAGGTGAGTTTTAGAATTAAATGTGTTTACGGTCTTTTTAATATTTAGGAGCTCCTCCTGCAAACTTACAAACATCATACCCAATTTTCTTTAATAGCTAAATATATTTATTTTCAGTTTCAAATATAGGATTCCTTAAACAAGTCCCTTGAAAAGTAGTTGCTTAATTTAAAGTTAGCTTTGTTTTATATTTTATTTTTATTTATTTGGTTGTGCCGGGTCTTAGTTGCAGCCTGTGGGCTCCTTAGTTTCAGCACGTGGGCTCCTTAGTTGCGGCAGGTGAGCTCCTTAGTTGTGGCTCCCCGGCCCCTTAGTTGTGGCATGTGAACTCTTAGTTGCAGCATACGTGTGGGATCTAGTTCCCTGACCAGGGATCAAACCTGGGCCCCCTGCATTGGGAGCGTGGAGTCTTAACCACTGTGCCACCAGGGAAGTCCCCAAGTTAGCTTTGTTTTAAAAATGCAAACAAATTTCCTAAGCCATTCAGAGCATAGATTCTTTATTTTCAGTATCTTTAAGCACATCTTCAATTTGTCTCTGCACTGATGAAAGTAAACTGAGATAGGCAAAATCCGAAGCCATCTACTTTGTCCAAACGTTTACAGATTTCATTTCAGTTCTCTTTTACCCTCTACCTGTTAGAATATAGATGATTCTGATAAGTTATTTATGTCAACAAAAGTATCACCTCCGTTTATATTTGGATTTTAAGCATTTCATTTATCAAATTGTGGAATAAAAGGTTTTTCTCTGGTTAACATATTTCACATAACAGGAGAAAGATATTTCAGGGGTGATTGAGTCACCAAAATTACGCCAAGCCTGCTAAGCTGATTCTGAGAGTAAACTTCATTTAGTTCTTCTAGAGCATCAATCTCTTCTTCTAATTCCATGGTCTGGTACCAGGAACTGGAGTAGACACATATAAACACAAACACACACACCTGCCTTCACTGCTTGAACAGTATCAGGCTTCCTTCTGTATCTTTCTGAAACTTAACCTGTCCTTCATCCTGGCCCCTGGCCTTCCTTTCTTAAGTTTCTTTGATGGTTTTTTCCTGCCTTCACATACATTAAGGATTGATACTCAACCACTCTGGACCAGTAACCATGCAGGTTTTTATAGCCACATCTGTTTTGATTGTTCTATGCTCATGACTTGCTGATTATTAAATACTTTGAATATTACCTTGAGAAATATGCTATTTCTAATATGCTATTTCTAATATATTTCTAATATGCTATAATCTTCCATATTCCTTTCCTAGAAGACATCTTTAACTTTATTTACTTCTGTTATAAAATCTCTAATAAAAATGTCATATTGAACTTCTTATCTTTGCTATGGTAGTAAAGAGATTTTGGATTTTAGGATTTTTTTTCTTTTTAAATTATCTTAGTTCTTATATAACTTAATAAAATCAGTTGATTAGGACATGAAAATAAATTGCCTAAGGTTAAAAATGGAGTGTGTGAAATGAACTGAAGTCTGAATGGGAAAACAGTTTAGATAGGCCTTGTAAAGTGAAAAGACAATAAAAGATAGAAATGATAAAATTCAGAGTAAAGATAGTTTTGCTACATAACTAGGTTAGTGGAACAGGAAAGTGGTGAACGGTGGTGAAATTAGAAGCCTCATACTTGAAAATCAAAATATAACAAGTATATTACAACTAATCTAAGATGTGAAAATTTACTTTTGCTTTGCTTAGAAATTTTAAACTGTAACAATTGAAGAAATATTATAAATATATTAACAAAAAGCTACATTGATATTAGTTGTTACATTTCTATTACGCTATTTTATATTTTCACAGCATTTGATGACAAATGAAGACTCGCCAATTATAGAATATTATCCACCTGATTTTAAAACTGACCTAAATGGGAAGCAACAGGAATGGGAAGCTGTGGTTCTAATACCTTTTATTGATGAGGTCAGTGCATGAAATAGTTATATATACATGTATATTTTAATCAGATATTATTTCACATAAATTAGTAAGCAGTGGATTTTAATAACCATTTGTGTTTTCTTAATGAGTTTTAACTACTCTCATCTTCATTATGTGCATCAAAACTTGTAGGTATGCTAATTATAAGAAAGCTGGCATTGCTTTACTAATAGTAGACAAAGTAGGCTTCACAACAAGGAGCATTACCAGAAATCAAAGACTTGAATAACACTGTAAACCTACTCAGCTTCATTAATGTATGTAGAACGCTGTGCCCAACAACTAAAGAATACACATTTTTAAGTGAAAGAACATTCACCAAGATTATTTGGTGACACATGAAACATGTCTGGGGCTTCCCTGGTGGCACAGTGGTTGGGAGTCCGCCTGCCGATGCAGGGTTCGCAGGTTCGTGCCCTGGTCCAGGGAGATCCCACATGCCGCAGAGCGGCTGGGCCCATGAGCCATGGCTGCTGAGCCTGCGCGTCCGGAGCCTGTGCTCCGCAACGGGAGAGGCCACAACAGTGAGAGGCCCGCATACTGCAAAAAAAAAAAGTCTGAATAAATTTAAAAGGGTTGAAATCATAAAGAGAATGTTCTCTGACCACATGGAATTAAATTTAAAATCAGTAACAACTCTCTGGGAAACTTACAAATATTTTGAAATTAAATAACACACTTATAAATAATCCATAGATTAAAGAAATTAAAAGGGATATTTGAAAATACTTTATCTGAATGATAATGAGAACACGTATCGTAATCTATGATAAAGCTAAAGCAAGGCTTAAAGGGAGACTTAAGGTTCTAGATGCTTATCCCAAGCAATAAGACATTTTAAAATAAATTAAGCTTCCTACCATAAGAAGCTAGAAAAACAAGAGCAATTTAAATCCAAACTAAGCAGAATGAAGGAAATAAAAATAGCAGAAATCTATGGAAAATGAGCAAACAATAGAGAAAAATCAATGAAACCAAAAGTTGGTCCTCTGAAAAGATTAATAAAATTGATAAATCCTAGCTAGACAGATCAAGAAAGGCTGAAAAAAGCCAAAGCAGGAGGGGAGAACACATAAATTGCCAATATTTGGAATGAAAGAAGAGGTGTCCTATAAATTCTACAGCTATTAAAAGAATCCATAAGGGATATTGTGAACAATTTTATGCCAATGAATTCAGCAGCCTAAGTGAAATGAACACAGTTCTTTAAAGATACAATTTAGCAAAACTGACAAAAAAACATGTAAAAATCTGAGTAGTCCTATATCTTTTAAAGACGTTTAGTTTCATGATTTAAAATCTTCTCACAGAGAAAATTCTAGGTTCAGATGTCTTGACTTGTAAATTCTAGCAAGCATTCAAGGAAGAAATAATACTAATTTTACACAAACTTTGAGAACATAGAATAGGAATAGTCACTTCCCAATATATTTTATTAGACCAGCATGATGCAGATACCCATAGTAAATGATGTTACAAGAAAAGAAAATTACTTGCTAGTATCCCTCCTAAAAGTAAATGCAAAAACGTTTAACAAAATAAAACCAGATGGGATCCAATAATATGTTAGAAGGATAATACTCATAACCAAATGTCATTTATTTTAGAAAGACAGTGTTGATTTGCGATGTGATTTACCACACTATCAGTATTCAACATCCAATTTTAATAGAAATGTTCAACATACAGTACTAGAAATAAGATGACACTTCCTCAACCAGATAAAGTGCATCTTAAAAAAACTTGGTAACAATATACTTAATAGTAAAATTTTGAATGTTTTCTCTGTAAAATCAAGAGTAAGACAAGGATGTTTATTCTAACCAATTCTAATACTGTACTGGAAGTCCAGTGTATTAAGTCAAGGAAAAGAAATAAAGGCATGCAAATTAGGAAGAAGAAAATTTGTTTTTATATGCACATAGCACTATTACACATATAAAAAATTCTAAGCAATCTTCAAAAAGATACTCTAACCAATAAGTAAATTTAGCAAGGTCACAGAAAATCTATTCAAAATCTATATAAAATCTATACAAAATTCAATTGTGTTTCTATATACTAGTAGTAAACAATTGGAAAATATAAATTTTTTTAAATAAAAAGATTTTTATTCTGCTTTCAATAGCATTAAGATATATAAAATACACAGTTACAAATTTAACAGCATGCACACTGAATACTACGATAGTGTTGAGATACAGAAACCTAAATAAATGGAGGGACATACCATGTTCAAGGAATAGAAGATTTAGTATTGTTAAGACGTACCCTCTTCTCAAGTTGATCTTTGGACTCAACATAATCCCAATGAAAAGGCCAGCAGATTTTTGTGTAGAAATCAGAAATCCTATTCTAAAGTCTTCATGAAATTGCAGAGGATCTAGAGTAGCCAAAGCAATCTATAGGAAGAAAAACAATACTGGAAGACTTCGATTCTCTGATTTCATGACTTACCATGAAGCTAAAGTAATCAAGGGAGTATGTTCCTTACATGGCAATAGACAGATCAGTGGAACAGAATTGAGTCCAAATATAGATCTATACTTGTCCAGTTAATAAATTTTCAATTAAGACATCAAAGCTATTCAATGGGTAAAGAAAAAGCTTTCCAACAATTGGTGCTGAAACAGCTGGCTATATATGTTGAAAAACCTGTACACTAACGTTCAGAGCAACTTATTTGTGATAACCCCAAACTGGAAAAAATTCGAATATCCTTCAATGAGTGAGTGAGTAAAAAAACTGTAGTACATCCATATAAAGGCATACTACTCAGCAATAAAAAGAACTATTGACATAAACAACAGATGGAAAATAGTTCATTTGAGTGAAAAAGTCAATCTTGGAAGGTTTTATATAGTTCCATTTATATAATATTTTTGAAATGACAAAATTATAATACAAAACATATCAATGGTTGTTAGGGGTTAGGGTTGGGGATAGGGTGTAACTATAAAGGGATAACATGAAGGGGTTTCTTTATGATGATGTGACAGTTCTGTATTCCAGTTTTAGTGGTGGTTACATGAATCTATACATATGATAAAAATTCCATAGTACTATATACACACACAAAATTTAGATATAAAAACTAGTGAAATCCGAATAAATCTGTAGTAGTGATGTACCAGTGTCAATTTCCTGGTTTTGATGATGTACTGTGGCTGTGTGTAAGATGTTATCATTGAAAGGTACATGGGAACATACCATACTAATTCTGCAAATTCTTATGAATCTTAATGTTTTTTGCCACTGTACACATGCTATGAAAAAAGGACTTGTGTGTTTATGTATTCTTTTTGTTTGTTTGTTAATGCATTCTTTTTTGTTGTTGTTGTTAATGCATTCTTATATATCAGAGATTTTATTTTTGTATGGTAGAATCCCCAAAGCAGGAA